GTTTTATAATTCCCAGGAAGCGAAGATCCAGGAAGAGAAACTGGAGAAGTGGTTGGCCCTCGTCCCCGGGTTCGACTCTTACTGGGCCTTCAGTCGCGAAAAGAAGGGCTACAGCGGTTTGTCTTTTTTACCTTTATTTGTTCATCCTTGAAGAAGACATGTTGTCTCAAGTAGCTCCAGTTTTCTGTAAACCTCACACACTGTCTCTCTCTCTCTCTCTCTCTCTCTCTCTCTCTCTCTCTCTCTCTCTCTCTCTCTCTCTGTGTGGTTGTCTCTGTTTCCGTCTCTGTCTCGTTCTGAGATTATTATTATTTTTAACACACACTTTCTCTCTCTCTCTCTCTCTCTCTCTCTCTCTCTCTCTTTGTGCCTGTCTCTGTTTCTGTCTCTGTCTCGGTCTGAGATTAACACACACTTTCTCTCTCTCTCTCTCTGCCTGTCTCTGTTTCTGTCTCTGTCTGTCTCTGTTTCTGTCTCTGTCTCGGTCTGAGATTATTATTATCTTTAACTTCCTTTGTAATTGTACGGTCCCTTAATGATAAGAGCACCAAAGAGATCGAGGATTTCTCTCGGATGGCTCCAATTCTATGAGTGAGGAGCAGCAACTGCTGGAAACTGGGTCCAGCGTCCCATAAATGAGCAACTGCTGGAAACTGGGTCCAGCGTCCCGTAAGTGCAGCAACAGCGTCCCATAAATGCAGCAAAAAACATACAAGTACTGGGAGCATCACCCGCGGGGTTCGCTTGAAATGTCCTTGGTCTGCGGATCTGTGCGTCATATGTTTGTCCTTCCTTCCTGTGAAAAATACTTACCAAGGCTGACCTGAAAATGCCGTAGGAGAGGTGTGACGCGCATATTATCCCAAAATAATGGTGTGAAAGGGAATTCTTTCTTCGTCATTGTTATGGTTGTCCTTTTTCCTGTCTTCGTGGCGCTCATTGGCTTTCTTTTTTTTTTTTTTTTTTGTGGCGCTCATTGTTGCGTTTCCAGGACTGTTGTCTACATGTCATTTTTCCAATTCGTCTTCTCTGACACAGGCTCGGAGAGACATGGCAGTCGTGATAGGTCGGGATCTGTTGGGTTTTACTGAATCCAGACGTTGGGCGTAGGACTTAGCTTAGACTTCGGCTTGTAGTTCTATAATGTGACCACGCCTGATCCCGGGTCCTTTAGTACTGGTACATGCAGGGGACCTGGGGGGACCTGAACCACGGGACTCACTTCTCAAAAAGAAAACCGGGAAAATAAAAAAAAAACCGGGATCAAAAGCAGGAAACGTGCTTAGAGTGCTGAGGTAAGTAGGGAAATAAAGGGATAGGAAACATGCTTGGAGTGGTGAGGGTGAAGTAGGGAACAAAGGGATTAGAGTGCGGCAGGTCCTGGGCAGTAGGAGGTCGGGGAGGGGTGGTATCACTAAAACTCGGCAGCGAGCGGGCAGGTGTGAAAAGAGTCCGAGGAGACTTCAAGCGATTGATGTCGTTGTATTTGGCTTGGCTATGTATATAGTCAAACAGAAACGTCCGGTGAACCGTAGTAGGCAGAGAGGAAGGGAGGCAGAAGAGGACA